GTGTGTGTGTGTGTGTGTGTGTGTGTGTGTGTGTGTGTGTGTGTGTGTGTGTGTGTGTGTGTGTGTGTGTACCGTCTACACATACGCGACACTTACTTGCAGATCGGGTTCGTGTAGGTGCGCGTGTTGCAGGGCTTCACTTGCAGCATGCAGGCGATGGCCTTCCACAGCTGCGGCTCGCAGCGTCCGATATCGAGCACGGGTATGTTCATGAGCAGCATGCGATGGTTGATGGTGCCGTTACGCCACAGCATGATGTCGTTGCGGGCGGCGGCGTCGGCGCGTCGGTTACAGCTGCGGTAGAGCTCCGTCGGTCGGTCGTTGAAGTTGGTGCAGTAGGAGAGACCGCTGCAGCCCAGTTCACACGGCTCGTCGACTGCGAGGGGGTGTGAGGATAGTTTTTTTAAAACTTTTTTTCTCCAGATTTGACACAAGTACATACATTTACACATATAGCTGATCAAATATGTAGACACATACGTGATTTGCACAGTAATAAAAACATATTCAACGCATATTTGGGATCACATTCAAAGATTTGGGAGAATTTAAGTACGGGCTACACTAGATAAAGTCACCAACAAAATTAGGAGTGTGAGGATAGTTAGTGGGATTTACTATATATATTACACAGTGGATAACTATATTTATATAGTACTCGGCGGATTTCTTGTTGGTTTTATGAGATTTATTCGTATTACTGTCAGGTTCACAGGCTTACTCGTTAACGGGGGGAGTAGAAAGTATTTATGTCGCATGCTCTCACTTCCCCTCCCTCTCTCTTCCGCTCGCCTCTGCGCCGACTCGCCCCCTCTATCTCCTTATCTCCCCCCCCCTCTCTCTCTCTCTCTCCCCTCTCTCTCTCTCTCATTTTCTCTCTCCTTTCTCTCGCCCGATCTCCCTCTCTCTCTCTTTCGTGCGCGCGCTTTCTCTCTCTCTCTCTCCCTCGATCGATCTCTTTCACGCGCGCTCTTTCCCTCTCTCTCTCTCTCTGCCTCTCTCTCTCTCTTTCTCTCTCTCTCCTCGCGTTCGCTCGATCTCTCTCTTTCGCGCGCATGCTTTCTCTCTCTCTCGTTCTCACTGCCTCACATAGGTGAACTCACCATCGTCCAGGCAGCTGATGAGAGGCAGCTCGGACGGCTGGTACCGGCAGTGCGCGTCAAACTCCTGCCACGACTGCGTGAAGCCCGTGCTGAACGTCTGCGACCAAAGCAAAAAAATCATGACTCATCGGGGGGGGGGGGAATCCACATAATTATTTGACTGCCGTGACTCCCGCGATGTCACGTCGCCGCGGTGGTCATATATACATATACTAATATATATTCATATATACATATACTAATATATATTCATATATACATATACTAATATATATTCATATATACATATACGCATATATACATATACTCATATATACATTATACTAATATATTATACATATACTCATATATACTCATATATACATAATT